GGGGGGGGGGCGGTCTTGCGCTTTTACGAAGATCGCGGACCGGAAAGTGTTTACTCACGTCGGCGTGTCATCCGCTGAAAATGGCGCCGCTAACAAGCGCACTCTCCCGACTGCCCGGTGCATTAGGATGCGAGGGGCGCAACGAGGGGAGCTTCTTAGAGCACGACGTACTCAGGAAGGGTAGACAATGAAACGGATATGCAGCTCTGAATCAAGATGTGGGTTAAATATTGGACTCCTAAAATGGGCTTTAAGTTCATGAAATTTACAGCTTTAGCATTCTGTCTTTATTTCAGCTAACATTTAACGTAGAGGTTTGGCCAAATTATTAGACTACGCTTATTGAATGAGACAAACATTGCGAATGCGTTTTTTTATTAACTAGTTGCCATGGCCTTCTTTCCTTCAGTTTTTTTTTAAAACTGAACATCGAACGTTTTTTATGGGATTCTTGTCAGGGCTGTTTGCAGCCCGTTGGAGCCAGACTAACAAATGTCTTAATATTTTCTACCCTTCTTTCCTATTGTGGCATACAGCATAATCATACATAAACATTCATGGATGTTTTTCAAACTACACATTTATTTGAGGGAACCTTCAGATATTTGTCGTCTCTCATACCATTTACTATGTATGCGTTTCCAATGTCATTTACAAGCAATACACTTCAAAACATTATTTGTGTTAGGTGATTCCTAGGGCACGTTACAATACGTTAAGTGAAGGAGACAATGTTAAGTTTAATAATTTTGCCGCCTGTGTAAATAGAAAGTCAACTCAACTCATTTTGTTTATTAATCTTATCAAATTATTTTTTATTGCGTAAATAAGAAAACAAATCGGCTCCCCTTTTTAGAACGAAAGATTGTATCTCATTTTCATAATGTTCGTAAATCCACATGGGATCATTCGTAGCAGCAAGAATGAATTTAACCGAGATAACTATACACAAATATAGAGAATGATCCGTAGAAGTCATATAATACTAATCTGATTTTCAGCCAGATGAATAGTGGAGCAGAATCCTTACACACAGGCCACTGACCATGCGGGATATTTTCTTCTTTCTTGTCCCTTCCACTCTCATCTCTCCTACCCAAGTACATGTACATTACTGCCACACAGCGGGGCGGTTTCAAGGAATGTGTAGTGTTGTCCCCGGCGGTTGCAGCAGTGATGTCCACTTCATATTCGAAACTAATGACCGACCGCACTAATAGTAATCTCATAAATTGACGAGATTTGTTCCAAAAATGAAATTCAAATTACCGACGTTAATCTTTTGGTATTTTTCTCTCACAAATATTAGACTTTTGTACATATGAATGAATTTATATTAGTAAATAACATTACTTCTGATTACGGATATAATTGCCTTTACATCTGGTTGGAAATTATGCTGTTATTTGGTTTCCCGTTGGATTTGACATGATACGTGTTTCAGTGTGTGTTTAGTAAGTTAATTCTAGAAATTGGTTGTTTTAAATTATTCAAAATACCAGGAGGCGTGTATATTCTTAACTGGTCCATAGGAATCTCATTTACATAGTAAATGTGTTCGGTAAGGAATTTGAGAAAAAATGGAAGACATGCTACAAACATTGTAGTTATTTTACGTAATTTGCAATGAATATTTAATCAAAATAATGATTCATTAACTTTTATTTCAGGCGGCCTCTAAAAAATTCTATCCCTACATCTCTTTTCTTTCATTATTTAGCGAATTTATTTTACCTGTTTTGTGTGGCATTTTCCTTCCAATGTATCATCAAATACCAAATTAATTTACTTAGTTACACTGCTTAAAAATATTCCAACCAGTTTCCAGTATTTGCAGCGGTAGAATGTAATAAAAGTTTGTGATTTTTTGTTACATTGGTTATGTCTTCTTTTTGGCATTAGACTGTTAGCTTGATACATTTATTGTAACATTTTATAATTGAATGAAGAATCTGGGATACAGCGTCGTTGTTGTTCTTTGGAAACCTCACAGCCACTGATTCCGAGTACCCTAGTTTGCTGCAGCTGACCGCAAATAGCTCCCGTTCCTCGCCTCCGCGTGCCCTTTGCAAAGGGCGACAGGCATTCTTATTCTTCTCCGGAAGCATCTGCGGTGGCGCCATGACGCATCGCGCCTGAACGCGGCCTCGTGGGCGCGCTCAGGACACAGCTTCGGGCGGCCGAGAACGGTGCATTTGCGCATGCGCACTCACGATTAATTTATCTATTTCTTTCTTTACGTAAAAAAAACAAACAGCTAAAACTGTATGTGACGTGCTATGAGGAAAAGTTAATTTGAAGTTACATTTATGTCCGTTTACACGCTTTCTTGAGCTTCAGACACCTCCCCACCCACTTCTTTATTACCATTAGATGGATTGAGAATGAGTATTAACGACGAGCTCTGTTTACAAAATATAATTTGAAAGGTTTGCTCCCGCGTAATAAAAACTATTTTACTTCGAAGAACAAGCTTCAGATTTGATATAATGCACTTTGAGTCCTCTCGTTGAAATAACCAACCCTCCACCCTCGCGCATCTAGCGAAATGAAGGCTCAAGGAAACGTGCGCGAATAGAAATAAACTTCGTAGTGAAGAACAGCTAATAGAATACCCTTTCTAGGCGTTTTCAAACATTTTGAAAAGAATACCGAGGTTATTGAGTTCTTGCTTTTTTCTTCCAAAGCGATATGATGATTCTTCCCCAATAATTTTCCTAGATTTACTTTCTCGTATAGCAACGTGTTTATTATTACCTGCTACAGGATTTCCAAAATGGATGTTTTACTATCAACTTCCTACCTTGGAAATTAACGAAAATTTAATTTTTAAATGTTGAGGGTCAAGTATGAATATACTCTTTGGGAACCCCAGAACAAGTTGTCAAAAAATAAAAACAACAACACCTTTTGAGGCACTACATTTTGAAGGAAATTTAAGTCTCTGAAAATTAAGAATTCTCAAAGCTACATGGTTCATTGTTACTCCTGATGAATGAAATTGAATTGTTAATATCTTTGAAGCGCCTAGATAGAAATATGTGAGTAACCTAAAGCACATGATGGCCAATTTTGATATTTTAGCATACAGTGTGTAGGAAACTATTTATTTATTATTTACTATTTAGTCTATATATGAGAAAATGGTTTTAAAAATGATTCGCTGAATTATTGTGGATGCAGTTCATAAATATCAAGTTTTCTGAAAACTCCCTTTCTTTGTTTTATGCCTCTGTGGTTTTAAGTGCTTAAATTATTAGTTGTATCGGGCTTAGGCACTTGAATTGTTGGCGCCACTTGTTGGTTTGTGTGTAGTTGTGGACGCGCAGACATTGACGACGCGCTGTGTGTTGCAGGTCGACGGCGTGAAGGCGGCGCAATGAGAGAGCGCGATGTCCAGATATTCCCGCTGTCCTCACCAGAATGCGTCGGGCACGGCCACCCTCGCGCCTCTGCACCAGCCGCAGCTCAGGTGAGTCACACCAAGAGAGCACTTGGGGAGAGGCGGTGTTCGAGGAACTGATAACCGATAACGGACGGAAAACTCTCGGCTCGCACGCCAATGCCTCCGATAAATGTAACTTTGCATGGTTAAGTATAAAAATGGAAACAATACATTGATAAATGCTTAGTAATAATCGGTCCTACAAACGTAACAATACGTTGGCACTATATTGTTTTATACTTCGATATTAGTATAATAATAAAGCTAAACTAAACTACCAGTACAACCAAATTATTTAGCAAAACCAAAAGAATAATCAACGAAATGTCTTCTGAAATGGTTTCGATTATAACGTCATTTCGGGAGGCCGGCTTTCAGATAATCACATTCTGCTCTTCTATTAACTCGAAAATGTAGAGGAAATAGCTGAAGGCGGGGCTTAGGTTGGTTAACGTTGCCGGAGTAACGTTGCGAAGCTGCTTCCCGATGCTTCCGGCGGATCAGCAATTCCCCTCAAGAAACGCGACTCCGGAAGCTGATTGGCTCCCTCCTTCGCGTAATGATTGACTGCACCGTGAAGGGGGTAGCCTGTAACGGTTCCGCTGTCCCTGTAATTTCGTAGCCCTTGTGACGTCATTAGTATTGATTTAATCGAAGTTTCTCTCCCCCAATGAGGATATAGTTTCACCCTATTATAATTATTGCTTCATTTATTTTAAAAGTGTTAAACTTTCAAGTCGATTTGACTTCGGGAGGTTGATATTACTAGATTTGTAATAATGTCTTTATCACTTTTGTATACGATAACTAAATGTCAATGTTTACAAATGTTTGGAAAATTAAATAGTAAAAAATTGATTCGTCCGACTCGATAAACTCGACGTGAGTTAAGCTGGCTTGCCAATGGACGTTATTAAACTCGTACATTCTCAACCTTGATCTTTTGTTCCTAATTGGGTCTACTAAAATATAGAGTCCAAATTAGAGAGGGCGTTATGCTGCTTGTTAAAATATGGCTCTTGAGCTGTTTTTCCACATTTGCAATAAGATCTTTCCTTCAAAGGATAAAGGTTTACAAATCAATTCTAAAAAAAAGAAACAAAAAAAAAAAAAAAACAATAAAACAGAAAATTTCTCAGCTGCCAATGCTATCAATAAGCTGGTTAATTTGTGCGAAACAATCTGTTTAATAGTCTAAACTACTCCCCACATATGTACTACTCTCCGTAGGTGATTTCTGTGGCATTCTTCGACATAATACCCACTTTTCGCCTGGTTATCGGTGCATTTGCAGGTTCTTTTGCTCGTCTTCGTCCGAGAACGGGTTTGCGTCGGCGCAGCGCCGCCTCAGAATGTCTCGCCTTTGCTCGTCGCACAGTTGACCCAAAGAACGAAAACGTGGTCAAAATCGCAAATAGTGTTGAATTCAATCATAGTGAAATTTGTTCCAAAATACATCTCTATAAAGGCGGTCATTTTTATATTTCTTGGCTTCATCTGTTGGTACTTCTATGTGTAATATAAACGTGTTTTTAATTTAAAACCAAGGAAGTATATGTGTGTTAGGGGATGAGAATTATACAAATTTGGAACAATGTTGTACTGTTCTTTTTGCCTTTAAAAATGTACCTAGTGCTCTTCCCAGTTTTGCCAGTAAATTTTCGATCCATGATTCCTGCGCGCGACGTATGTTGGTTTGAATCAACTCTTCATCACTTCCGCTCATGGAAAATCGGAAAATCACCTCCTTTTGTTACCAATAATGTACAAAGTCTGAGGGTCCCAACATATGGACCGTTGTTATAGGATTTTGGCCATGACTTTATCATTAGGAGCCGCGCGTCGCTTTGGAAGAAGAGGGCTGCGGAGGCGGCATTTTGGTGAGCATGACGCGCGTTTGTTTTCGGGCGGCGGCGGTGGCGCTGGTTTGCGGCGCGGGGGCACAACAGCAAAGGCGAATGGGTTTACGGCAGAGAGAACAAATCGCATGAACGGGCGGAAAAGATGGACTACTGGGCGTGCGCGTACTTCGCAGACAAGCGCGCTTTACGCCAAGCTATGAATATACAGATTTGTGTTTATCTGTAGCTGCCTGGCAATTCTCTTTACAAAAAATCCTCTGGATTTCTTTACCAATGAAACATTTTACATTCTACGTTCGTAACACTTTCGCTATCTTTGACATGGCATGAATTAAGAAGTGTAATAATTGATAAAAATTGTATGCACTGTAATACTATATTCTATTCAATGGAGAAATTACTATACATTGCGCCATACCATAATTAGAGATTAATAATTTTCAATCAAAGAAATAATATATTGAATGAAAACACAAATGTGATAGTTATTTATGCACCAAAGGTGTGATAAAGGTTCTAATGATCGAGCGGTCACAAATCTTGATGATTTTTTGTCGCTCTAAATCATTAGAACCAGTTAACGCCCGTGGTACATACATGATTTTAGTTTTTACCTACGCATATTAATTTAGATTTACTTACTAATTAATTAGATATACCTCTACTCGTTTTGCATTTTCATATTTCCCTCTCATAATGTCCGTTCATAATTCCCTCCAAGAGAGAACATGTAGCATCATTCATCTGTTTTCATATTTCTCTCGTAGCCACGTTCCTCTCGATCCAGCTGTCATGCAGTTTATATCAAGCTCCGTATCGGAGGCAATAACGTATCAGTAAAAAATAAAGATATTTCCTTGGAATAGATTTATAGAAAAGTACCGAAACAAACTTATCCTTCTCTTGCTTCTAAAAATGATAATTTCTTGAATAAATATATAATCCTCCCTTTGTCTAAATGTGGATCGTTTAATTCGCAATATTTACAAATGCTTAATTATTGTTTTTAATCGAAAATTAAAGTATTTCGATACAATGAACACGTAAAATTATTGAAAAGAATGTGAATGAATGAAATGTGGGTTATATTACTTCATTGCCGTTTTTCGCAGTAAGTATTTGATGAGTAACTTATCAAATGTCAAAGCCAAATAGGTTTTTTTCTGTTGCAACCTCGAGCCTGTGCGCATGTGCAGACTCTCAAAAGTGTGGTGGAGAAATTGCAGTAGATTGCTGTACTTTTGCTCGAAGTCCTGGCGATTGAAGTTCCGATGCAACGCATGGGATCGAACACATTCGATTGGGAAAAGAGGGGCTCTGTTGGTAAGAAAATCGTAAGCGCTTTTTGCTGCGAAGCACACAGCCAAGGCGGCGGCGCCGCTGGCATTGGAATAGCCCGGGGCGTGGCCAACCACTTAACAATAGAATTGGAAAGGTGTCCCGGATTAATTTACGCTGATGTGCTATTGTTTGATAACGATGCTATCGAGGGGTGAACAATGGAGGCCGGCGGCGGGGGCGGGGGCGCAAGGGGCGTGTTATTGCAGTGGAGCACGCCAAATTTCGCGCGTGTAAACACTCAGTTTGTTTTTTCCGGCGGTCGTTGCCGGGCCGCCGCCGCCTCGGCGCTATCGTCTGCGACAAGGAAAATGCGAAATGCTTGTTCGGCAATCGCTTTCTGAGATGCTGCAACGCGATGGCTCACAGGAATTGGAAACGAAATTTGCTGTGTTGAAAGCGGCAGAGAGTCCTGTTGAGGCCATTCAGAAGCTTGCTATTTGCACTGACGATTTTTTTCTTCTTATTTACTTTGTTATTTACTTCTTATGTACTTTATTACAATTTTTTTGTTCTTACGTCACTAACCATAGGCTTGAAACCATACGTCTGTTTTGTGACTTTCGGAGTCTTGAATTTTCTAATGTGTTCCTTTATTTCTTCATCGCCGAAGTCTAGGTTTTCAAGCTAGGTGGGATGGATCTTCCATGATCCATACATTATACGCTTTTTATTCATTTCTCGTTTTCCATTTTTCTTTTCGTTTACATTTCTTAATCTCCTCCAAATTCATTATTTATTACAAGGCTTTTTAGCTTTGGCATGGTATTTTTTTTTCCTTTACAGTTCCATATTTATAATGCATTAATCCCATAAATATTTCTTTAAACAAAATGTGATTTGCCTACACACTTTCTTGGGTGTTGCATTTAATCCAGTTTCAAGGATTTAATAGAGATGTTTGCGTAGAGTATGTGAATTAAAGTTGCAACGTCTTTTACCTTTTTAGCTATTCCCCTTAAAGCAAGAAATGCTCAGTATTTTTCAAAAAGATCAAGGTCTCTCTTGATGTTGGCAAACGCCATGCATACTAATAGTATTCGTGTAGGTTGTTGATTTCTACTTGTGGTTCTCATTAACATGCTGACAAAGGCAGCAAATATGCACCTCTGGCATGCGAATATATTTGCGCTTTTGTATTGATGTGTATATAGATTGTAACTATGTTGCTGTAAGTTTCTACTGTTCAATTCTATTACCTTGTTTGAAGTTTTCACCGTGTATGTTGCTCGCCGGAAGATGATAGTATATTCCCCTTCGTTACTTAACATCGAAGGTACCTCCTACATTTCTGTTAGCGACGTCTCCGAGAATTTTTTTTCTTTTCCTCTTTAAGTGTACTTTCTGTTGGTTTTTTTGTTTTTCTTTCTCCGTATTCTTTTTATGTCAACATTTATAATTTCCCATTTGTTCGATATCTACCTCTTAAATTTTCATATATTTTCTCAGTGTGCCTCAAATCCATGCATACAAATTTTGAATGTACAAGAATGACAAGTTCGTGTTATCGATAGTGGCAAATTTTGGTGTCATGTCTAACTTGTAGAAATTATTCCTTGGGCATTAGTGTGTATTGTGAACAGTAAATATGCGATTTTATGGGAGACTATCTACTTTTATTTCCTTGAATATATTTTATTTTGTATTGATTTTTATATAAATAATATTTACATCCCAATTACCTGAAAATATCCATTGGTGACATCTTTGAAGGGACCTTTCTATCATGCGCCATCTACGAATTGAAGTAACGTACGAATTGTATTAAGTCTTAGTGTCAGGCGGCCATTGACCTTTCCTACTATTTTCTCAATTTGCACGTTCTCC